TAGACGCCAGCAACTTCAGTTTGGCCTTGAACCCTGACACGGACATCTTCCCCTCATCTCCGCGGGGAGGGGCGCAGAAGGGGAGCCCTCCTCCGGAGCTGTGGTCATGGCCCAGACCACCTGGCAGGGCCGCCCGGCCGAGCTCTAGCGACTCGGCCTCTCCCCGCCGCCTGGACCCTGGTGGGAGCCGGCTGGAAAATGGCAAGGGGCACGGAGGCCTTGGCGGGAGCTGTGTGGCGGCCTGGGGGGCTGCTCCATTTGTAACTGACTCCACAGACAGGAGGCAAGGCTCCTGTCAAGCCGCAGCTTAAAAGGGCAACAGCACCACCGCCCCAGCTACCACCTGGGAAAGGGCTGCCCCCACCCTGCCACCGTCTCTGTCACCCCTCACTCCTCACCCCACAACCCTCACCCCTCAACCCGACGCACCCGCGCGCACCCGTTTCAGCGGGTACACCAGTCCAGAGCGTGCACTCGCTCCTGGCTGCCCCCCCCTCCCCTTGACGCAGCACCTTTCTGTGCGACCCATCTGATCCCTTCCTCACACTCGCGGCATAACCACAAACTCGTGTGTGTGTGTGTGTGTGTGTGTGTGTGTGTGTGTCCCAAGGGTAGGTGAGTGGGTGAGTGTGTCTCCCAAGGGAACAGAGCACTGCTGAGTTCAGGCTGATTATTAGTTCCTGGGCAAAATACAGTCACAAGAAGGCTATGTGCTGATTTGTCTTTTGTGGTGACATCATGTTGCTCATGTTTTATGTTTTTCAGAGTTCATTAGTTTCTGTTTGTTCTCAGTTAATATCCAGCTGAATAGATTATGTAAGTAGAATACCCCCAAACTGAAAGTCACCTACATAAAATATAGCGAAAAATATGTCATCCACTTAAACTATAGTTGAAGATGTGTACACATTAGTTTTGTGTAGCCAACACTGGATAATGGGTAAGGGCACAGGATCCCTGGGCTAGACTGCCTGGGTTCAGGTTCCAACTTAGCCACTTTCTGGCTGTGAAATACTTGGCAGCTTTAAGCCTCAGTTTCTTTCTTTCTTTTTTTTTTTTTAACTTAATCCCAAATGTGATAGTAAGTCTCAGTTTCTTGATCTGAAAAACAGAAATTATTCAATGAGAGTCTATGTGAAAACTTTAAAGTTTTTAAAGCCACTGCCTGGCCCAGGAAAGTCCTCAGCTTTAGCCGTTATTAGCTATGATTCTTATTGTGTTGGCTACACGTGCATTAATGAGACAGGAAAACGATCAAGGATAACAACCAAGTATCCAAATTATCTCATCAGACCCAGAGAGATGCATATGTGTGCATGCTCATGTTTCAGCTCAGAGCTCTTTGTCTAGAAGGCTATTGAACTCAGAGGCCAGGCACTATCAACTTGACTTGGCAGTGGAGTCATCACTTTTGTTGATCAATGAAATTGACATAATGCTCTTTTCTTTTTTTTCCTTTTTTTTTTTTTTTTGCACCAACCATGTTCCTAGAGCTAACTGTGTCAAGAAGAGCATGCTTCAGTTGGCTGGAGTGAGCAATTCAACTTGTGGAGGAATGAGAAATGTTACTGTTGAGACAAG